ATATATATATATATTGACTGGGGTGTTAAACAGAGAATCATCTTTGCTTTAATATTGAGCAAACAAGTGTTATGTTAGTTAATGTGGTTTAATTAGAAAAACTTAGTGAATCTCAGACAGCCTGCACGCGCAGCGACACGCTCATACAGCAGTCTCTCAGGAGAAGAGTTTGTCACTCACACAGAGTTGGACAGATCTGTTCAATAACAACATTTTGAACATATATTTAATATAAAGTTAGGTTTTACAGACCAAAATCTCTGGTAGTTCAGGAGCAAAGTGCAGGAGGAGAGGAGAAGCCAGGACTGATCGCGGCGCTGCAGCAGCTCGAGTCGAGCCGCTGCTTCAACCAAACTTGCTCTCACTGAAAGTCCCGCACTGCTCTGCTCTGATTGGATAAAATGGCTCTGGACTTCGTCTGATTTGTTGAAGGCAGTGTCCATTTAATCCTTATATCAGGGTCCAGCTGTGGCGCAGTGAACAATCCATTCACACCAGTGCGGCTGGATTCTTATATATATATTTTTTTAAGAAATCAGGTTGCGTTTGCGACCAAACTGTTCGCACTCTAGAGCCCTGCTAACTGTTGTTTTGACAGACAATCAGGTACAAGCTTAGGTACGCAAGGGAGCTTTATGACGTTTCATCTGGTGCGCTTTTTCCTTTTTTGACAGCGCAAGCGCACCTGCTCACTGGTTATGTGCAACTCTGTATATAAACCCATACATACATATATGTACATATATGCACCCACACATGCACATATACACATCCACACATAGATATCATAATTACAACCTTGCTGAGAAATGTACACAAAACAGACACACCCATACACACAACCAGACACATACATACAAATACAAACATATGCATATACATACACACATCCACATACATATATATCCATTAGGGTTGGGCACAATCGTATCGTGTGCAATTGATCGTCAAAAACAATCAATTATTTTTTGGCACTTGACGATTAATTCGATTAATGCCACCAGGCGGACTGACCGCTCAGTGCTCCTCTCTACTTCAAATATGACAAACATTAAAATAAAAGTTCTGTAATTTATTTATCTATCAACACAATTTTAAATTTGATCTTATACATGAAGTCTGTGATTTTGACACAATTTGGAACAGATTTTTATGAAGAGCAAATATTTTCCACTAAATTGGTCATGTGACTACGACATAAGGGCGTCCAGGGACTCCAGGGGATTAATCGTTAAATCAATCATCGGCAAAATACCACAATTAATCGTGATTAATTTTTTTGCCAATATTGCCCAACCCCAATATCCATATACATACACACACAAATACGAAGAACACACACACATATATCTTCACACACACACAAATATCTACATACATACATACATACACACACACATACACACAGACATACAGTACATATTTGCATTCAGTGACTGTCAGAAATCCCAGGATCCAAATGCCTATTTTTGTGCAGTTGTGAGCATGCATGTAAATACAAGATTTCTCCAGTGAAATATTTAATAGTGACTGTGGAGGACCACAGACCCAACCCCCAAGACCAAAGGCAGACATAAGGGAGACCAGAGCCACAGACCCCCCAAGATGGACCCCAAGCGCCGAGACCCCAAGGGCACCCGAGCAGAAAGAAGTGCCCACCCATCCCTCAGAGAAGAACACAGGAGCTAACCAGGAGAGCCCCACCAGCAACCACACTCAGTAATCCCCCAGGGCTAGCAGCGACAAGCTCACAGGCCCCGCCGGCCCCCGCCACACCGGAACAGATCCAGGCATGGACACAGAGACCCGGATCCCCAGGCCAAGGCCCGACGGGGCCAGAGGACCAAAGCCCCACCAGGCAGCCACCAGGTCGAGCCAGCACATGCCCAAGCACCCAGCCCCAGACATTGAGAGCCACCAGCGCACCAGCAGGCAAAGGTACACCCCAACAGAGGGCAGTGCGACAGGAGAGGTGAAGCCCACCACTAGCAGTGGGCCCTCAGGTGAACTAGAGGAGAGGGCAGCCCGAATCCCAACCTGACAAATACCCAATCATACACAGACACACTCACACAGTCCCACCCTCATTCTCACACCCACTCATTCAAAGACAAGACGGACGCCACACTCCACTCACCTTCCCAATACACACACTATACCCCCCAGGTCCAGGACACGTACCCGCCTCCTACAGAGGGCAGGTCATATCTGAACCCAGGGGGTAAACCCATTCATACTGGGATGGAGAAGAGCAGACAGCCAAGACCCGGCCTGGGCTGCACCAGGTCAGCTGACCGGCCCCCCGCCGCAGCGAAGCAACACACCCGACCACCCACACACACCACCGACGGCCAAGCGCACACCCCCAGCTGACCACCAGCCAGGCTCCGGCAGCCACCCCAGCCAGCAGGCCAACTACKGTAACCAGGGGCCACAATCTGAGAGTCCGAATACCCCCGGGGAAGACAGACCGCAGGCGCCCCCAGGCCTCGAGTCCATCCGTAGCCCAGGCCTCCACCAGATGGTCCGCCCCTTCACTGAACCCCACCCCCAGACTGCAAACGGAGAGCGGGGAGGTCAAGAAAAAACAAAGAAAGACCCTGACACACATACCCCCACCCCCAGATGTGCTGATGATGTGTGTTGTTCTAAAGTGCAATTAAAATGGACAGGAACAAGGGGCAGAGGCCAACATTGAGCAAGTTTTCCTTCCACCCTAAGTCCAACCCCAAAAACCCTAAATGTCTATAAGCAACCCTTGGGGGTGGACACAGGTGCGAGTGATCCCCTCTCGCCCCTTGCCTGCCATAGAGTGCCCACCCCCAAGTTCCTATTTGTGAATGTCATGAGGATGTTGTAATTGAATGTCTAAAGTGCATAATAAAATTGGGGCTCGAGTGGTTACGGCAAACAGAGATGAAAAAGTTGTTGCTCTTGCAACGCACCCACACCCCAAAAACCCTACATGAGTGAAGACGAAAATGAGGGGGGTGGGGGTAAGCGGTGAGGGATGAGGAGAAAAACAACTAAAGGAGCAAAATGCTCCCACAGGAAGTCAGTTCCCCCACTGACCCCAGAAGGACCCCCCGCTCCCTGAAACCGACCCAGGGAGTGAGGTCCCAATGCCACTTCCTCTAGACAGACCGCCAGGCCCGGGGAGCCCCAGACCATGGACAAAAACAAAGCCCAGGGGAACACAAGAGAAGGGTGCAAACAATCCATCCACCCCAGAGCCATCCAGACCCCCAAGACCAGACCCCCAGCCACACAGTCAGCCCTCAACCAAAAGAGGCCACCGAACCCCAGCAAGGAAGGTTCGGCCGTGAGTGCCCACCCAGCCGCCAGCAGGGCAAGGAGGCACCGAGAGCGAGCCCCGCCACAACGAAGGGACCAACCAGCTGCCCCAGTACAGCCCCGGGCTGCCACCAAAGGCCATCCACACATCCCCCACCCCAGAAGAAATACTGCACCCACCCCAACATTCAGACAACTCTCAGAACATATAGCACACTAGACACCCAGGCTGGGCTGACCTACCCCCCTCCATGGGCCACCGGCCCCACCCCCAACCACCACCAACCCCCAGCACACCGAAGGCTCCCAGTCCAGAGCCGGGCACCAGGGCACAAAACGGCCAGAGCCCGGCAACCGCCCGCCAGGACCCAAGTCCCCCAGTCCCGAACAGGACCACAGCCCAGGGGCAGCACGGCCCCAGAACCCTAAGTCCCCCGTGCCCATCCCGAAACCACCCCAGCACAGCAAGACCACCGGATCGGTGACCTATGACTGCCGCTACAGACCACCTGAGGGCCCGCATGCAGCCACCAGAAGGTCTCCCCCAAAACCACCAATGCCCACCCCGGGGCGAGAGTAGAGCCCCCCCCGCCCAGGAACCCCCAGTGGCCCTGCCCCCGAGAACCCACACTCCCGACGTCCCAACCCCCGATTACCCCCCCATCAGCCCCAATGTCCCACAAGGTCTGATTCAAGGACCCCAACCCCCATTATGTGAAGAAGCCGATTAAAGGTGCCCAGATAGATTGATTTGATGTAGCGACAGATGCTGTCTCAAGACTAATGTGATCTAATAAGAGATTCCTATACTGATTGATACTAAGAGCATTTTTATTTTTCCAGTTCAATAGTATGGTTTTCTTAAATTAAGTACATCTAAAATATGGATATTWATTAGAGGAATGGCTAAGCTGAGGTTCTTCTTCCATGAGGCAGCTCTGTTGTCCTCCATCCATATTTTCAGTTACAGGCTGAGTCATTTCTACCTTCTCCTCTCTGTCAATGCTCTCTGGTTTCATTTAAAAGAGTCGATCGTCAGATATTGTCCAAGATTAACCTTCAGGGTGGATCTAACTCGCTAGCAGCCTCGCACCGAGGACCTATCCACGACATCATTTACCCAGAATGTTTTGCGTGTAAATAAAATGGCCCCGTCCGTGTAAGATATTTTTAAACTTCTAGTTTAAGAATTATAAAAACTAAACAGCCTACAGTATTTTTGCAGTCTTTATTTTATAGTTAAAATGTTTATCAAATAAAGTCTGGTGTTACAATTAATCATGGATCCCCTTTAAATTTAGCTACAGCACTCTCTGACAAACATCTACTATAATGAAATTTTCTCTCAGTAGCTATAAAGTCAGCCAATGTAAACTCAAAGGTTATTAAAAATGGTCAGAGAGAACAGGATTGTGAGGATGTATTATTAAGTTCTTACTCTCTACACCATACGTCAGAACCAGATCAAGAGTGTGTTGAAGGGAGAGAATAGGTCTGTGGACATTTTGAGTAAAACCAATTGACTCAATTAAGCTATCACTTTCACTATCAGCATGAATGTTAAAATCCCCAATTAATACAATTTAATCAGTTTTTAATAATAAATCAGTCAGAAAATCTGAGAACTCTGATAAAAACTGAGAATAAGGGCCTGGTGGACGATAAATAACAAAAAGAGGTTTTTTGATTTCCATTCCAGATGAGAAAGACTGAGGGACAAAGACTCAAATGAATCATAACTAATATTTGATTTTGCATTAATTAATAGTTCTGACTTATAAACTGCAGCTACTCCACCACCTCGACCTGTTGTTCTAGGAACATGAAAATTTAAATAATTAACAGGAGTGGATTCATTTATACTAACAAAATCCTCCTGTTGTAACCAGGTTTCAGTAAGACAGAATAAATCAATATGATGATCAGTTATCAGATCATTAACTAACAGAGACTTAGACGAAAGAGACCTGGGGTCAGATTTATAAAACTGGCGTACGCACAATTTGAGCCCAGAAACTTGCATACGCCACTTTTCACGCCAAGGTTGTGATTTATAAAATCCAAACTTGGCGTGAAAATGTGCGGTGCCTCACGCCAGCTCTGACCCATGCGTACACTCATTTTGGAGATGGGAAACTGCGACACAGTTGGTGAAGTGAAGAATTAGAGCCACACTGTGTAATCACTGTCAGATATTTAATTTCACTTCATCAGACTTAGATTTTTATTCAGCTTTATCACCAGCTTTCTTAACAGTAATATTAATCAGCAGCAGATCAGTAATCTGCTGCTGAGCCATGAGGACCTTTGAAAAAAAAACTTAAATCTTAAATAAAAGTTCCCGTGCGCAACTCCATTCATCTGCTTCCTCCTCAGACCCCTCCCTGACCCACAGACCCCTCCCTGACCCACAGACCTCTCCCTGACCCACAGACCCCTCCCCGACAAGAACAGCAGGACAGCAAAAGTCACGCTTTGGATACACGCGCAGGGCGCATCCACCTCGCCAGTGTGGATGTTATAAAACTTCATGTTTAAAGTCCGTATTTGTCATGCGCGCGCGAGGGGATGCGTGCGTGTGTGTGTGTATGCGCGGGGCGGGGGTGTCTGCCGCGGATAACAGAGCAGGCAGGAGGGGGAGAGGACGAGGAGAAGAGTGGTGGACTTATTTCTAATTTGATCTGACTTATTTAATTTAATTTTTATTGTTTTTATCATCCTGCAGGCTCTGGGAGAAAATTAATTTGAAGCTGAGTATTTTTTTATAAAAATTATTAGATTACTCCAAAGCAAAATGAGGGAAAATCTGTGTCAGTTTCAGACAATCTGTTCACGTGAGCAGCTGTCAGTCAGCACCTGTCATCCTCCAGACACACGACGGAGTGTGTATGAACCAATCACTTTTGTTGGCATTGATCAGCTGACTGATTTAAATACATCTTAACATTCATGAGGTACTTTACATTGACTGTTTATGGTTGAATGTGGGCGTGTAGAGGGTAGAACCTGAGGCGGGACCTCGTGTGCAAACTCTGACGTGCAGCTGTGATTTATAAAGGAAAGATGTGTAGAAACGTACGTACGTACGGTTTTATAAATCTGAATGTTTTTTTTGGCGTACGCCATTTTCGCCTTTTGGCCGTACGTTCACATTTAGTATGGTTTCCACGCAATCTTTTATAAATGAGACCCCTGATGTTTAATAAACCACATCTAATACTTTTATTGTTTTGTTCTGGTAAAGTAACTGTGTTTATTTTTATAAGATTTTTATGATTTAGTTTTCTAGAGTTTTTATATTTATTTAATTTGGTCCGTGGGTGGGCTGACACAATCTTAATGGGGGTTTGGGTAGGTAATAAAGGAGAGAGCAGCTCTGTTTCCTAGTCTGGACCCTGGATTGTCAATAATTTCTGATTATGATGATAAATGACCAAAATTAAAACTGACAAAATATGACAACTGGTCCAGATGAACTTTGAAAATGTACAATGGGTTGAGCATTAAACAGACAGACAAACACAAAGCTAAAGGAGTTTTACAGCGAGAAAGATATTTTAGAAGGTTTTTCTAAGGAATGGAAATTTTAACTARCGTAGGTAAAATTTAATGAGGGTAAGGGACTACTATGTTTTACCAAAACTCATATGAATTAACTTTAAACCTGTAATCTGAGCACCTTTTTCATCACCAGCAAATGGTTTGTTTTGCCTACCTGTCGTTCCTGCTGCGTTGGTACCAGGAAGAGGCAAGTTGCGAATGGGTTGACTCTGTAAGTTGCTTCCAGAAGAGAATCCGTCATTTTGGCTGGCTGCCAGACAACCAGAGGTGTCTGTGACTTGACTGATCCATCAGTCAGGAGACTGGGTTTGGCTGGTGAAGGTGGGGTGCCCGCCTTCATTTAGAGTGCTTCAGAGTGGTGGTTGTTGATCCAGACTTCGTCAAGCAAAACGGATCAAAATGACGCATTGAGTTCAAATGAACTTACTTTCAACTTTCCTATCAATTCAAGCCCTTGTGAGAGCTGGCATGTTACTTGGTAGTTTTATAATGAAATTACATTAAAATGGCGACGAGGAGAAAGAAGGCCGGGACAGCCAAAGAGGTCCTGCACATGAGATCGTCTTGACGCCATGAGGTGGGCTCAGGCGAAGTCAAAGTGGAACCAGAGTCCAAGAAGATTCGAAGGGAGAGAAGGCAGAGTGTAGACAGAGAGAAGACAGTTTGGAGATGTACGCAGTAACTCTTGAAGACTCTGGTCGGGCTGAGTTAGCAGTACGTTAGTCCAATTAAAATGTTACACGTCATAAAAGAGGGGTCGATTTAAAGGGTTCAGCCAATGAGCACACAAAGGTGTGGTTTTTCTTCAACTGGAAAAATAAACGGCGTTTCTAAGTTTAAAGAGGGAGTTTACTAGTTGCTTGCCTTTTTGCCTCATAGAGATAAAACAAAGAATTTAATCTTTTAAGACAGTACTTTTAGTGGAAATAAAGTGATTTAAGACAAGACAAACATCAGTTTAGCTGTCTAACAATATTTACCAGTAAATAAAACCACAATTATCCTAAAGGAAAGTTGTTACATTTCAAATCACAATCCTAAGTTTTCCAAATGGCTAGGATATATGTCGATAAAAAGAACATTACTTAGATCAAAGAAAACAACTGTTAAATCCTGAAATAAAGAAACATCTTGGTCAGGAGTCATCCACCTGAAAATTGATAAAACAGTCTAGATTCAAAAGGACTTTGTGAGTGAGTCATTTGATTAAAATAAATAATACATTTAGTGGACCTCAGGCAACTCAGATCCTTCAAAAAGAAAAATGTGATTAATCTTTGCAGGTTAAACAGATAAAAAAAATAGACATGTTTAAAAAAGTTCATTTTTTTTCCTCATTTTACATTCACCATGATGAATGTTCACTTTTGTTAATTTCATAAAGCTGAGTTTCTCTGTTGGCTCCTGGGGAAAGAAAGAAGGAAACAGTCTTTGAGCAGGACATGTTTAAAGGAGAGTTTGCCCCTCAAGATGTAATTAGTCAAGAAAACACAGTCTGACAGTTCTGGGGTTCGGACGGCGCCTCAAAGTCTGAGAGTTCTGATTTAGGTGAAAAAGGTTTACTCAGTGTCTAGTACTCTGGTTAATAAGAATCAGAGGTGCTGTGGGATACTGAAAAGGAGGAATGTTGATAGTAATAAAAGTCCTGGGTCAGGAGTGTTACAGAGCTGGTCTGGAGTCAACCGTTCAGGAGACTCATCTCTGAGGACTTGATGATGCTGAAATGTTCAGAGTTTGATCAAAATCAATATTTTAGCTGGTGGTAGGCTCTACATGTGATTCATCTTTATAGAAGACGCAAAGTTTGGCTGGGTATGGGGTCTGAAAACTAATCTTCTTAGCACCTGTTTTGCTTCATTGTATTTGTGGCAATTATAATTGCGGTAGGTTAGTCATAGTCAAAGTATACCCTCTGGTTCTTTACATAGATTTTCTTCTTCTCCCATGCTTTTCTCAGTATTTCCTCCTTTGTACGATACCGTAGGAAATGGGCTACAATTGATCTGGACATTGCTGCTC